AAAACGCGGCGTTTTTCACCGAGTTTCACGCCGCCACTTCGCGTAATACGGCTTGTGAAACCCCATTATAGGTTCCTGGATGATTTTCTGATCTTTGATGCTGATGGACATGGGAATATCATCGTTTTCAGATATCAAGTGGTTTTACCTAATAAATGCGTCCTTCGCAGTCGACCTGGTTGTGATATCAGAAGCAGTGAGTTCATTGACTCGGTGTTTTCGTGACTTTTGAATTGAACTTTGTCGTTATCTGTACAAAGTTGTCCGAGTGATGGTATTCGGTGAAAAGCCGGGAGTTTGACTATAGATTATAATGAAGTTTCACAAGCCGTTTTACGTGAAGTGGCGTAAAACTCGGTGAAAAACGCGATATTCAACGCGGTGATATGCAGTAGTCGTGAAATTTGCCTTTTCATATCACTAGGGTGAAGAAACTCCATTTTATCTGACAGTATTATTTCTTTCGCGAATATTTCTGATGTTGTTCAGTTCCACTGACGACAATTTACAAAGAAGGTGTGCCCGAATTTGGTAAAGTGATCAGCGCCGTCCCACAGGTGCGGTGAGCGCACTTTTCTTTTTCACTTATTTCCGCTTGTAGGCATTGTCACGTTTCAATCTCAAGCTGTACGCCACCGTGAAGACTTTCAGACGGGAGAATCAAAACACTAGTTCCCGTAAAAGAGTCCGTTACTGATAATTTCTGGATTTGTGTTAAGGAAGTTCAGTGGCAAGGGTTTGACAGAAGAAAGCAAAATTGAATGGTTAACATTCCATCAGTATTAAATGAAGAGATTCAAGTTGCCATTCCAATGGGAAAACTTCCATAAAATTTTGTTTGACTGGTGAAAACCGCGTGATATGCTGATTGACTAGCTGTGTACTATACTGTTAAATAGCACTGCTACTACACGGAGATGGTCACAGTACTGGCACGTTGCCATGGCTATCAACAGATCATGAGTTTCGAAGAAAAATATGAGGTATACTGTAAACTCGCTCAAGAAGAAAGATGACTCGAAGTCCATTACAAAATATTCACCCACTGGGAATAGAACCCAGGTCTTCTTCGAGACGGTCAACCGACATGACCAAGTAGACTATCATGTTGATGAATTGATCTCTCACTGAAGGGAGGCATATAACTCATCTCGGTATATGGACAATCGAAAAGAGGTGTTACCGATTCTACTTGAAGACTACTTTCCAGAACTGACAAGGAAGTTGACTGATATAGTTCGAGACACGAATAACAGCGACCAACCCTGACAAAGGACTTGATAATCAATGACGAACTATACAATCACGAATCTCAAGGGGAGCCTTTCTCACTGACTTCCACATTCTGCCGGGCCATCGCCTCAGCATGCACCTTTTTATAGTATGGGATGCATGCTAGGGCACCTCCGGCACCAACTAGACAAAGAGCTATAAGCACATAGTAGTAGTAATCGTAATGAGAGGGCGCGGCCACGGCGCTGCCTGGTTCGAAGTTTGGCAACCACGGTGATGCCACTTGGAACAAGGCAGCGGAGAGACCGTTGGCGATAGCGGTAAAACAAAGATTAACGGCGGAAGCCACGTTCTTAAGCTCGGGCGGAGCATGTGTGAAGGCAACCTCGTAGCTTGTCGAGACCAGGAAAATCTCACCGGCGGCAATAAATACGAACTGGGGAATTTGCCACCAAATAGATACTGTGTACAGAGACTTACTGGAGACCACATATTCTACAATTACTGCGGCGACTAAAGACAGCGCAGCGAGCAATGAGCCGATGCAATAACGAACCAGAACGGAAGGCATAAGCCCACGCTTTCTCAGGGCAGGATAGAGCACTTTGTCAACGATTATTGATATCACAACGACAGCGATAGCATCGACATTTTGCATGATGGCGGCGGGCATGTTCCAACCGAAAGTATTGGTATCCATTTTGAATCCCTGAGTTAGAAAAGTTGTTGCCATGTTGTTATACACCATATTGAATGGCACAGTGAGAGTAAACAACGGGAGGAGTCTAAAGAACACCTTTGCGTCCTCAATGAACTCGTCTCCGAATTTGCCTCCTTTACTCCTCTTGTTCTTCTCAAGGGAACATTTCGCAGCAGAGTAGACGGCCACTTCACCGACCTTCAACACAGCCGAGCCCTGAGGCTTAGCTTTAACGTAACGATTCATGAAGTCACCAACGACAAATACAATGGTAGCAACCACAAAAAATGCCAGAGGGAATAGGAAACTGGCAGTGTAGCTGACCTCTTGCAGCAGGATAGGAGTCACGACACCGCCTACGATCGAGCCAAGGTTAATTGAGGCATAAAAATAGGTAAAAAATCGTGTTATCATCTCTTGGTGTTCATCTGGGTGCATTTGCTGTGCTCCCATCACGTTTACACACGCCTTAATGCCACCAGCACCGAGTGTGATGAGAACCAACAACGACAGATGTATCATCCAGGCTTCGCTAATTGACCTTATCGAGGAGAGTGTAAGCAGAGCCAGACCGATCATATACACTATGGAAAATCCCAGGATGACGTTGTAGACACCGAAGAGAGTGTCAGCTAGAATACCACCAAGAAGAGGAGTAATATACAATACAGCATTGAATATGGATACGTAGGAGTCGGCGGTAGTATCAGAGTATCCAAGATAGCTCTTGAGGAAAAGTTGCAAATTCGGTGTTACACCGTAAAAAGCTAGACGCTCACAGAACTCCTGCATAAGGATGAAGACACAAGCCATTAGCATAGGGTTTCTATAGTAGCGATATACATTGCCGGATCTGTCCGTCCAGGAGAAGGGCTTCTCGTGAGGCATTGATGAGGAAAAATTGGTATCGAAAGTATACCTTCACAAAAACAACGTAGATTAGCCACACAATGTCCTCAAGAGACGTTATAAAAACCTGCAGTGACATTGACCTATTATATGAGTAAGCATAATACTAATATAGATCGTTATAGACTATAACTATCTGTATTAGTATTATGCTCACTAAAACTTACAGTAGGCCACTACGCCTTATTTCCCGCGTCACAGTAGTGCACGCGAAACGAGCGTACCGTCACCAGCGAAAAAGCGCGCGCCCGCGCTTGACTTTCAGCCGCAGGCCAAAACCAGTCCTAGAACTCCACAAGAAACGATAAAACTCGGGTAAAATCCTCAATAGTAGTAGTAGTGTTTCATAATCACACTCTGGAGAATGTGGTCAAGCCATTGACGCTACCGACCTTCTTCGTAGAGCTCCTTCCGTGGCACCAACAGACTCCCCGAAACTCGATGAGGACGAAGGTCTCGAACGTCTATCTACCGCGGTTTGTCGTTGGGCGCTTATCTTCTTAACCTTATTGAAATAAGGAACGCTCAATAGAGCCGCTATCGAGCCCAATAGACAGAGACCAATAAGTAGATAGTAATAGTAGTCATAATGGGCATCTTTATGCGAACCATCTGTAGGTTTTGTTGCATCGAAATCCGGCAACCACGATTGACACAATGAGAACAGCACCGCAGAAAGAGCACTGGCAATAGCAAAGAAGCACAAGTTGAATGCTGAGGCAACTGCTTTAAGTGAAACCGGGGAATACGTAAAGGCCACTTCGTAAGAAGTTGACATGAGGAATATTTCACCAAGAGCGATCATCCAGAACTGCGGAACCTGATACCACACTGATACCGTGAATAAGGGTTTCGATTTGATCTCATATTCAACCACTAGAGCACAGCCGAGGGCAATAGCGCCGAAGAGCGAGCCTATAGAAAACCTCACCAACGGCTCGGGCATGACTTTGTGTTTCCTTAGAAAAGGAAATAGCAGAGAATCGATCACAAACGAGCTGATAACAACAGCTATAGGATCCACGTTTTGAATCATCGCGGGGGGCATGTTCCAACCGAACGTATCGCGATTCATTTTCTTAGCCTGGGTGAGGAAAGCGGTGGTCATATTGTTGTAAGCCATACAGAACGGTATGATCAAGATGAACATTGGTAATAACATGAATACAGCTTTCGCATCGTCAATGAAATTGTCCTCAAATTTCCCTCCGCGGGAGACCTTATTTTTCTCCAGTGAGCATCGAAACACCAAGTAAATCACAACCTTCAAGATTTGCAGAACCGCCGAGCCTTGTGGTTTTGGTTTCACATAACGGTCCATGAGATTACCAACGATGAAAAGCGTCGTCGCCAGTATAAAGAATGCCAGAGGGAACGCAAAGCTCGCGGTGAACCCAGCCTCCTCCAGCAGAATGGGAGTGACAATTCCACCGATTATCGAACCGAGATTGATAGCAGCATAGAAGTAGGTGTAGAATCGCGTTATGAGCTCTCTGTGGTGCTCGGGGTGAAACTGCTGAGCGCCCATGACGTTGACACAGCTCTTGATACCACCAGCGCCAGAGGCGATCAGAACGAGTAGAGATAGATGGACCATCCAGGCCTGACTGATAGACTTCACAGAGGAGACCGTCAACAGAGCCAGACCAGCCATATACACGAATGAGAATATGACTATTGTATAGTACAGACCAAGAAGGGTGTCCGAGAGCACAGCTGAGATCAGAGGCGTCACGTACAAGATAGAGTTGAATGACGATATGTAGGAGTTTGCTGTGGAGTCAGTATAGCCTAAATACTCCTTGAGGAAGGTCTGCAGGTTCGGTGTGAGGCCATAGAAGGCTAAGCGCTCGCATAACTCTTGTAAGAGGACGAATGAAACGGCCTCTCTCATCGGATCCTTGTAGTAGAGGTACTCGTTACCATAGAGATCTGTCCACGAGTACTCTTTCTTCAAGCTTGTCGTACTCACCGCACTTTTAGTGGTGCTACTCATAGTACAGGACTACATGCCATATCATAAACACACTGTAGTGATATGCTTACCACACCTCCATCACAAATCACTGAGATGTCGCCAATACTCAGACACTCCTCATAACGCTATGGAAGGCGTTTCACGCATGCACACATGCACGCGCGCACAGGCTTGCGCCTCGCGGTGATATCAGAGTATTAGACTTGTCAAATTCATAGATTTCACTCCGACTTCGAACTTTCAATCTGCGTAACTCAAATCCTACCTTATTAGTTCGTGAATACGGAAATGTGATATAGGTTAATCTGTTAACCTAGGTTAAATACCGATGCGGATGGCCGCGTCGCTCCGCTACCAATTCGCACTGCAGAGATGTAACCGTGAGGCGAGCGGATCCTCCCCGCTTTCCTTATGTCATAGCATAGTCACGGGCTGAAGGACCTTCTGCATTTTATTCCAATCCCACCACTCCCGGGAGCAAGTACCGAAGAGGGTGCAGACACGCACTGTCGTCGGCACACTCACTGAGTGTCACTCAGACCCTGTGTCTCTGAGTGTCTTTCCCTCATCGATACTTCTAGGGTCGGTACCGAACCACCCTACCAGGCCCACGCGACCAGGAGTGGGATATTTAATGTGGTGACACATTCACTTGGGGACGACCCTGGTGTCACCAGCCGACCTAAAACTGACTTAATGTTTACTCAATACAGCCTCTACTAGAGAAAAAGACTCCTGACAATGTAAGATGGAGTGACTACGGTGAATGATTAGTGAACATCATTCGGATATCCTGAGATCGAGCTTGACCTTTTCGGGTCATTCATTCGAGCGGACCATCCGTCCTCGACCAAAAAGGGGCCAACAGCAGATAATCGTCTTCCTCAATTTAAAATCACTTCTATTTTCTTCCTCAAGTTGTTCTCGTTTAATATTGCCATGACGGAATATGATAATTCCCATCAGAATGAGGACCAATGCCATCCATTCGAACCAAGTCACCTTAGTAGCTCCAATGATGGGCCAACTTATCAGAGAGAAAATTGCCGTCAACGGCACGGTGAGCTTATACGATATGAAAGTAAGCAAACTAGAACCATACGACACCAGCAAGTATATGGAGATATTAAACAAGACGTTAATAACCATATAAATAGTAAACGCCTCAGGAGCATACGAGTTGGTCGCGAGAGCGTGGAAACCATCACTGAGTCGTTTCCCAGGGTCTTCACCAGTGCGTATCATCTCAACAACGATCGCTATAGGGACAACCCAGAGGACACCGAATGTGTGGTTGGAGCTACTCAAAGCAAAGACGTCCAGGGTGGTATTCTTGTATCCTTTTTGGATAGCGTACTCAGTGTAGTTTCGGAACATTTTCTCCTTGATAACAAACGCCAATGCTTGAAACATCGTAGACATCAGACACACAATGGACATGCCAATACTAGTAGAACCACCGTCGAAACCCGCAACCACTGCGGACCCTACGGCCATGCCAACAACTATCGCCACTCCGAATAACTCCTCCAAAATGTAACGGACTGCGAGGAAAATGAGTGACCATAGTAGAGTGAAAGGGACCATACCCTGTTGCAACAGGCTGAACACGACGATGGAAATGTAAGCTTGTGACAAGTACATCAAGTTGTCCCCAAGAACCTCAGTAAAAGATGCCAGAAATGTGTATTTACAACCAGGCAAACGACGCCATAATCCCTTCACACCGGTAGCAGTAGTATCATCTTGGAATTTCCAAACCCACTCGAATTCCTCACGACTGACTCTCCCACTGAACCACTCCGCCGCAAAAATCGACCAATACGAAAGGCAGTAGACAACTTGACCAATGATGTTGGTGACCAAACCAGAGTACTCACCCAGAGTCTCAGCACGGATCTTCCCAGTGATAGAATTGGTCGTGCCCAGGGTAACCAACGATACGATGAGGACCGGGACCAACCACACAGGTTGCTTTCGCTTCTCGATGACGATGACCTCGTCCTTCACAGTGGTCTGTGAATTTGCGGATTCGGGCGGTACCATATCTGCGAAAATCTACAAGTATCTTTGCGCATGCGTGCAGAAAGATTCTCAACTCAACACCCGGCATCACCATCAAAACGCACAGCAAAAACTTACAAGTCTTAAAAAATGAGATGCAATGTTGGAGGAATTTATGTTCGTTTTCCTCAGCTAAGCTCACTCATATGCGAATTCGGGTAGAAGTGTACGGAAACCAGGAATTCTTATATGTCTGGAATTCTGATATGAAAAACACCAGTGAAAAAAATAAAAAAACCAATGAAAAGTGAAAAAATATATTTCACCATTGCTGCATACTGCAAATATCGCGTTTTTCACAATGTATTACGCCACTGCATGTAAAATGCGGTGAAAAACGCGATATTCGCGGTAATATGCAGTAGTCGTGAAATATGTTTTTCACTAGTGTTTTTCATATCACTAGGGTTAAACTCCACTGTTATATACAATAACTAATATTCAATACCTAACCCGAAACACGCCGACAAGACCCGAAATATTCCACCAAAAAAGACAACTCTCACAGCTCGAGAACACCAATATAAATTTGTCTTTGAATTGAAGATATAATACAGTTGAACGAAACTCCTCCGCGGACTACGGCATTTCCATGTTAATTTCATCGACGTATTAAAAAGTATTCCCAGAATTTGGTATCACGTGTAAAACTTGATCCTGGAAGTAGTCTTGGAACTCAGACAAGGTCTACTGAACACGCCGAATATAACCGGGCCGTAACAAGGAGAGTTGAGACCGATAGTAGGGATATAAACTTGCGTTATAACCCTATGAATGTGTCCTGAGATATTACTATAGAATGCCCTCGGGGGTAATTCCAACCTGCACCCTCCCTTAATTCTGCGTCACGTGTGCATGCGTGCAACAGTGGGTGACGCTGGAGAGCGTGTCACCTCATACTCCCTATCAATTAGGACGCATCGGGTCGTCTAGTATACGATAGAATAACAGTCGTTGTTAGGTCCTTCACCAATTATTCACTATCATTGTCTGTGTCATCCACTTTTGAACCAAACGATTATGGTCGTGTAGAAATATCCGAATCCGGGAGAAAATCACACCCCGAGCGCGCCATATACGGAACACATGACGATGGAAGGACTCTATAGTATTAATACTATGCATAGTAACATCATGTTTGACCTGTGATATCCGAGGTGCGGTATCATCGCGTTGATAGCAGGGTTGTCCAACGTAGTTGTTGAACCTCCGTATTTCCATTTTGACGAGTATTTCAACAGGTCATCAATGATGACTCATCATCATGTAGTACGGTCTGTGATAATCCCCTCCTGTAGTTGTATTATTAAGTTAATAATATCAACTATCACGTTTTTCACACTGAGTATACCAGCAGGTTATCATCATGTATTAAGGTCTAATCATCTTTAGTTGTACTATTATGAATCCCGAGCTCTTCACCCATCCCCTTCGAACGTGGAACCTCCGCGTACCTGTTCGGTATCGCCCCTCGGGGGTGCATGCAACGAAGATGCACAAGGCTAAGATATTGGATACCTCTAGTCAACGTAGGATGAGGGAGAACCTTTGGCATAGCTGCCCCACACACTTGGGAATAAGCACGATTTAGGGTGGCATAGCCGCCCCGCACAGGGAAATAGGTGTATCTTAGAATGGCATACCCGCCCCGCAGAAGAAATTTCGCATATCTCAGAGTGGCATACCCGCCCCACAGAAGAAATTTCGCATATCTCATGGTAGCATACCCGCCCCACAGGAGAAATTTCGCATATCTCAGAGTGGCATACCCGCCCCACAGAAACAAATTCGCATATCTCATGGTGGCATAGCCGCTCTGGAAGACGGTCACAATTCACAATTCTGTGCAAAAAAGGCATTTCTGAGCATGGCATATCTGCCCCACACACAAAAGATAGTCGCATCTCAAATTGGCATACCCGCCCCATCTATGGCATATCTGCCCCACACACAAAAGATAGTCGCATCTCAAATTGGCATACCCGCCCCATGAATGGCATATCTGCCCCACTCCTCTCTTTTCCCCTTCAGGTATAGCCGGTGTGATGAGCCAAGCCATCATGAAGTATAAACCATCCGTATACGGTTGGTTCGGCAAAAGGACCTTCGCCGAGAATATCCTCATTATAGCCTTACCAAGTAATAATAATAAAGACGACGACGATAACGACGGCCGCTTACTTATATATTATAATATCCTTATATATAGTACAGTATAAAATAGTATATCACACCTTCGCCGAGAATATCCTCATTATAGCCTTACCAAGTAATAATAATAAAGGCAACGACGATGACGACAGCCGCTTACTTATATATTATAATATCCTTATATATAGTACAGTATAAAATAGTATATCAGACCTTCGCCGAGAATATCCTCATTATAGCCTTACCAAGTAATAATAATAAAGGCAACGACGATAACGACGGCCGCTTACTTATATATTATAATATCCTTATATATAGTACAGTATAAAATAGTATATCACACCTTCGCCGAGAATATCCTCATTATAGCCTTACCAAGTAATAATAATAAAGGCAACGACGATGACGACAGCCGCTTACTTATATATTATAATATCCTTATATATAGTACAGTATAAAATAGTATATCACACCTTCGCCGAGAATATCCTCATTATAGCCTTACCAAGTAATAATAATAAAGGCAACGACGATAACGACGGCCGCTTACTTATATATTATAATATCCTTATATATAGTACAGTATAAAATAGTATATCAGACCTTCGCCGAGAATATCCTCATTATAGCCTTACCAAGTAATAATAATAAAGGCAACGACGATAACGACGGCCGCTTACTTATATATTATAATATCCTTATATATAGTACAGTATAAAATA